ACTTAACTGAGAGCCAGAGAAAGGAGTCATGGCAGTTGGCAAACTGCTGAAGAGGGCGATCTGGAGTGTGACTATCACTCGTCTCAGAAAATGTACTGAAAAGAACAGGGACTCTGAATACAGAATACACACTGTGGACATCAATAATATAAAGATTGCTTTCGTCTGCCATTAATAGGATTATGTGGCAGTAGTATGAAGAAGACACACCACTTTCACCGCTTTGTCACTTGAAGAGAGTCAGCTAATGGTTGGCTAAACCAGCTATTTAAAGGTTTTGTCCAAATGAAATGTGGGTGTGGCAACAACTTTTAAAGGAGTTTGAAGTGACAAATACCCAATTAATATCAAAACATTGTCTGTTGTGGTTCAGAGTCACTGTGTGGATATTATTTTTCATCGCTGCTGCTTTCCAATAGCCTTGATGTGCATGTAATTACACTTGTCTCTTTCTTGCAGCAATCATTTCTAATTGTTTCTGCCCACCTGCCTTCACATCCTCATTTCCACCTCAGTATTTCACTGTTTTCCAAACAGTCCTCTCCTGGTTGCTCACTTTTTTCTACGTGTAAAATATTAATTATATTTTGAGAAATTGTGCTCATTTCCTAATGTTGTGAGTCTGGGGAAGTCAGCAATGGCTGAGGAGCATGGGCAAGAGCTGGGTCATGTAAACTTTAGATCAACCTAATAAATATTTCACTTTACATTCTGGCCTTAATTGATTTTGGTACAACATTATGCATCAATAGGTCCAGTTATTAATAAAACACAATCTTGGGATTGCGTGCGCCTCTAATCATCTCCTTACCAACATGCTTTATTATTCTCGCCATTATCATATGAAACACTACACTATACTGTTGAGTCTGTGTGAAGCTTCTTTGGCAGAATAGCAGCAGGCATACAGTACATGAGATGACAAGCGCAAACACTATGTGATGCGGTGTAAGTTGATATTTCTCTCTGTGTGTATGTGTGTGTAGTCCCCAGGGCAAAGGTTCATATGGATCTACAAGGGAGGCCTTATAATCAAAAAGCTCGTACTCACTATATACAGTGCTCAGTTTAATCTTTGACTCCCTTTGTTTTGCATGTGTCACATAAGACAATTTAAGTAGATTTAAGGAAAAATGCAAGTGCACGTTACTGTAAATTCAGCTGTAGTGTAAATGTTTCCAAAGGCAAGGATTCATATTCTTATTGCCAAAATATCTCCTTGCCATCATCAGAATTAGAGTTTTCCATTTCAATAATGTTCTTTCAACTCTTAGCTGACAAAAGTTAAACCTAACCCAGTTTTTTTTCTGCCTTAGCCTGCCTACTTCAAGGTCTCACAAGTTCATATTCACTGAAATGCCCTTCTGCATGCTACCATTATACTGAGCTGTCTGTGTACTTGCGGCTCAACTGTTTCTCGCTTGTTTCAAGCATGTTTAAACCCCACAAGACTGCAACTGTATGGATTAAGTGATTAAACTAAAACACAGGAAGTCAGCCGTTTCTGAGAGCCTTGTGCATCTGGCATACTTGGGCCATAAATGCCTTAATTTACATTTTTCTTCCAGTCTTCTGAACTGGCAGGTTAACCAATGGGGACTATCACTCACATTCTTTAAGATCTTACCACTGTTTCCTATTTTAGAGAATTACTTAAAATAAAGCACCAATGTTTCAGTATAAGTTTTATGTCACATGAATTGTCTTGCAGACGGCTGTTTTCTATAAATCAGCATACAGGAACAACGCATTAATGTCAGTGAGTAAACAGTTTCTGCTGAGAGTGCCATCAAAATATTTATAAACACAAACAACTTGATGAATCTCTTTCCCATGGCCGACATTCCAGTGGGAGAACCTTGGGAACCAGAGCTTTCCAAAACACTTTTTTTCTCCCCCCTGATGAGACAGAGACATTAATAGAGTGGATTTGGCTTCTTGCACTGTTGATGGTTCACTACTACTGCTCCTTCTCTTGGAGCAACTAAACAGCGCTGACATTGAAAAGTTTATGGTGGAGAGATGCCTCACATTATAAAAGGAGTAATCACATTTATGTTATAGAGAGTCAAAAAGGCACCAAGGCTGAGGAAGTAAATACAGTAATATCTCTTTTGGCAAAGGTGTATAAGTCTTGGGTCTGTGCACAAGTATGTCTAATACCTGAGTAGATTATATCAGCTCTGATCACATGATGCATCATAATCACCTCAAAAAAATTGTTTTTTGAAGTGAGACATAAAGTTTGGACTGGGATTATTTTGCTGTTTCAGCTGTGACTTCCAATACTACTTATAACTTCTCCTTCACTACATTTCAGAGAGACATATTTTTACTCCACTATATTTGTTTCACAGCTAAAGATACTAGCTAAAAGTTTGAAGATTCAAGTTTACATGTAAAACACAAGATCAGTATTAAAATGTGGTGTGTAATTACACATTAAGATACCCTACTAACGTAAAGTATAGGAAGCAGTTAATATTACCACTACCCCAAACAAATGCCATAGAAAAATGCGTCAATAACAATAATCCATGTATATAAAGTATTATAACACACTTTTTTCCCTGCATATTGAAAACTGTTCATTTGATACTTAAATACATTATTCTGTTATTACTTCTGTTACTATAATTAATAATAACTTACTACTACTACGTAATAAATACTCCTTTCGCCAGTGCTGCCAATGTTCACTCTCTGTTGGGTCTGTTCATACAAACCACATTTTGGACCTGGTCCCATTATCCTCGGATCTATTATGACCAGATCTCACCATTCTGGATCAGAACACCTTAAAAAAAAGTTTGATGTTTGGGTCTGTTTTAGATTGGGCTAAAAATTTTACCTTAAAATGCATTAAGTAAGTAAGTGCTTTCTCTCATCCTTTTTCACTTTTACACAGTTATACACAAATATACCTCAGCACTGATTTAAACATCCATTGGTAGTTATTTAGATAAGATTTTGCCACGCCTCAGATAATTTGGGAATTTATATCCCGCAACCCTCCGGTTACAAGCCTGATAGTCTTCCTCTAGGCTACTACTGCCCCCGTTAAGATCCAGTACAAAACCCTAAATATAGTACCAAATGTATCCACATCTTCAGACTACTTCAGTACTGTTGTTAATTATAACTTCTGCTGACTGCACATTTCTTGATTTTACAGTAACATCAGTTTTTCTGCTCAGTTTGGTTAATGTGACTGAGGGCCACGGACGAGAGACAAAGGGAGGAGTGAAAGAAATAACTGGGCAGAAAAAGCAGAGAAATGGAAGAGGGGGAGCCTGAGCACAGAGTGTAATGTAGCGTGCTCCCTGAATCTGGATCACTGAACACACCAGTGTTTCTTTAGTAATTTCTTGTAGCAGAGATGGGCACCCTGGTTTCACTTCAATGTGTCTGTCCCAGTTTTGGCAGCAGTACACTAACGGTGCTGATGCTACATCTAGCCGGGTCACAGAGGTGGGACCGTAGATTTAGACGTTCCTTTGAGACAAGATATATTATGCAATAAGGTAGAGCAACAACTGGATGAAGAAAGGCAGGGAGACAGAGATGGCAGTTGGCTGTGAATTTATCTTAAATCCTTGAGTGTATGAAGAATGTGTGGTAAAATGATCAATCCATATTAGTAGCTGAGGAACTTTTATGTGACACACACACATATATATATATATATATATATATATATACCATATGCTGTTATCATGTGTTGTTTTGATTGAATTCATTCTCAGTGTCTTTGGATCAAATCTGTCCAACCTTACCACCAGACGGCACCAAAGTCAGACATATTCAAATCTTACACATAAAGGCTTTAAAGGTCCAGTGTGAAGCATTTACCAACCACCTGAAAATAAGAATCGTTGGGTTTTCGTTTTCCTTTGCACTTGGAGGGGAGAGTGACGTGAGGGAGTTGCAATCTACAACTACACTAGATGCCACTAAACCCTACACATGGCTCCTTTAAAATATTAGAACAGACTGGGGAAGTATACAGTGACATACCATCTGTGATATTATAAATTGGTTAATGAAGCACTTGGAGCCTGGATTTTGGGTAAGCCATATTTTCAAAATACTGAAGTCAGATAATTCAAATTTGGGCTCTGGAGGTGGAGCGTGGATGGAGCTGAGGTGGGACGATAAAACAGCATATTCATAGCACGAGAATCATGTCAATTAAAAACAGCAAAAAACTTAATAATACTAATAACTAATAAATCTTAAAAACCTTAAAGAAAGTCCCTTTAATAAGCAAAGGTTGCAAAGGCTAGCTTTTAAGAACCAACATTGTTTCTAAAATTGACACGTCTAGAAGATATTTTGTGTTTTTACTTTTTTTTTACCATGTCTTAATCATGATCAGATCATGAGTTATCTTGAACCAACACCTAGTGGATATTAGAGGAACTGCATTTCAGTTTTTAACACTTGCTCTGGACAGATAGTCAGACAACAGCTTTCTTTAAGTATAGACCAATCATAAAACCAGCCTTTACAATGTTTAGTTTAATATCAGAATATTGCTTTCTGTGAATGTGCATTTTACATAATTGTATCTTTGGACTTGGCTACCTTTAAAAGAGTATCATGATTGTCAAATAAGTCTATTTATCTATCAGATTACTTCTACTGAGAAATTAACATAAAAAACATTATTGTCAAATCAAATGACACATTTTAATGCAACAATACAAAAATTGAATTGATAATGTAAAAGATTGTACCAGTATGCATCTTCAGACTCCCACATCTACATCAGAAACTACCACAACAGCCAGCTGCCCAACTGAATATGAAGCAGGGTTGGAAAGACATCATGCAGCCTCTCTGGGGGTCTATGGGTCAGGCTGGCTTAGAATATGCCTGCTATAGAAAGCCCTCTTGCCTGTATCACAGGGTCCTACACAGAATTAAGTACGCTCCACTGGACCCGAGAGTACGCGTCTTGTCCCCGCCCCCCCGACAAGGCACAGCATCCATCCTCATGCGCTCACACGCTGCGTGATCCCCATCACAAACCGAGAGCGGCGGCGGCTCCGCTCAACCGATGGAGTAGTAGTACTAGTAGTAGTGGGAGTGCTTCCTTTTAGCCCCCTTTTTCTCCTCCTTTTTCTTTAATGGATTCGCCTTTTCTCTGGAATATTGCTTCATCCCGTCGCGGTAAGTGTGTTTGTGTGCGATGCCTGCAGATGCCGTTGTGGGGAGGGGAGAAATAAGAGGAAACGGGACTGTGCAGCTATTGTCTGTTGCTGAGGCAAGTTCGGACCTTAATCAAGTCCCAACGCGTGAGCCTCGTTGCGTAAAACGAACCGGAGCCGGCGGTGCGGACGGGTTTGCAAATGGGACGGGGGTTTCACCGCCGATGTGAAAGGGGAATTGTGTTTTTTAATGATCGCAAAGAGTCGATATCGGTATTTAGACAGACACCTGTCTCTAGCAGCAACAGTGGCCGCCTTCCAGCGCGTATTTACGCCCCTGTCCCAGTCCCTGGTTTACAACAGCAGGCGGAAAATCTGTAACGAATGTGTCGCCTTTCGTTGCTGAGCAAACGTGTCTCCAGTCCGGCAAGAAAAATTTGGCCCATCTCCCCGCCCCCCAACCACCCTCTAACATCAGAGGGAGGATATTTCTCCTCAACCAGCCCCCATAGACACGCACGGCGCAGTTGATGTGTTTCAGATCACTGAAAGGCTGGAATGCTTATTAAGATGCCGTGATGAGCGCTTTAGTGTAACCTTGAAATTAATTCAGTGCAGCAGTGTCACCATCCTCTCCTGCTTCTCCTATCATCACATTCTAAGGGGGTGCTATGGGTGTGCAGCCTTGGCTTCAGTGTGAGAACTGAATAGAGGAACCAAAAGCTCATCTTCTTAGGGGAAATGCAACAATAAAATCATATTTCTGATTTAAAGGTAGGGCTTCTTTGTGATAAATGTCTGATTTCTGCTATCAAATGAGGTGAAAATGCATGAGGGATGTGCTTTGCTGTCAGCTTGAAGTTGCATATAAGGCTGGGAATGTGGCCAAATGATACAGTTTTTAAAAATCCTATGTGAAAAGCAAGAAAATGAATCAAATTATTTGCAAATGTACAGTTGAGAGGCGTTGCAGATGAGCTGAATTGCTCAGCAGACCGGTAACCAAATGGTTACTGGACCCTCATTGTAGCAGAAGCCAGGGTTGCACATATCTACTGTCTTAAAAAAAAGTGCTGCATATTGGTGGATAGTGTTTTCCCGTCTGCTTACATTCACACAGCGATGGGCTATGCATTGCTTTCGCTGCTTTAGATTCAAACTGTGTGCATGTTGCACGTTTGTGTTGGATCCTTCTTGTGTCCTTCTTGGCAATCTTGAAAATAAGATAGTATCACCCACCTAGAGAGGCACATATTTCTACCGGCTATTTGTAGCTGGAACCTGCGAGTTTGTGCGTTTTGCTGTGTGTGTTTATATTTGACAGGTGTATTCATGCTCGTCCCTGTAGTATAGCAGGCAAATGGTATTATTCAGCAGACAGATGGCAGGTGGCTGGGCATCAGGTGAGCCTTTCCTTGGCTGTCAGCAGGGCCCACTGAATTCAAGATACCTCTTGGCACGCTCCCACCATGCCGTTCTGCATACCGGCGCAAGTGTGCATTTAAACAGTGTGTGTGTCTGTGTGTGTGTCTGTGTGTTGTAGGTCTGAGTCTTAAGTGCTCGCTCGCTTAAATGAGCGTACATGGGACTGCATGTGCATAAGGTCCTGTTCTATACTGCTCACACACATTAGGCCCTGTTTTTCTGTAGTGTGAGTTTGTGTGTGCTTGCCCGTCTTTGAGAATCTATGTCACTTTTGACCAATCAGATGGCAAAACAGGCTGAGGTCACAATGACATCATCATGCCTGGCAATGATATACTGTAGTGATATTCGCCTGTGAGCAGCATTGTTAATCACTTCACATGTGGTCAGCGTCACTTTTTCTTCAGATTATCAATCGTTATTGTGATTATTATGTCACAACCCGACTTATTGTTAGTTTTAGTCCAGTTTTGTTTAAGAATGATTAAATACATTTTGATTTAGCGAGTGAAACTTCATGATTAGTCTAATGTTGGATTATCCCAGTATGATGGATAAATTTGGATATTTCGTTTTTTAAAATTGTGGTAAAACACTTTGTAGGGCTACAGCAGTCACAATCTCCATTTGCCTCTTCTTTGTTCCATTTCTCACTGTAAATCAAATTAGTTTCCATTTTTTATTGACTATTTGCTATATCTACACATTTTTTGTGCCATCTGTTTGGTTTAGGCTCTGCCACATGCAAGCCCATATTTTAGAATAAAAAGATTTCATAGCACAAATATGCTTGTCTTATCATCCTAAATCTTCAAGTGAAGGACAACGAGGGGGTTGCTTGCGACAGAGTAGAGCGTCCCAAGAGATTTGCCAAAATGAAATTTTTCAGCTCCTGCGTATGTATCCATCCTCACATAGGGAGAGATAAATCAAAAACAGAGTCAAATGCAACATGCCTCCTGAGCAGCAGTGAGTGAGTACGCAAGCATATATATAATTTCTGGCTATTCAGAGTAAAATGTTATCTTTTTTCTTGTTGCCTTTTACAGCCAAAAACACAAAGCTGGTACAGGGCAATTACCACGTGGAAATAAAAAATCATATTAGCGGAAAGGTGCTGTTCTCAAATGTGTTACAAACCAGAATAATTACAGGGAGACACCAGCAGGTGTCTTATGTTGTTACAAAAACCACCAGACGGACATAGTAGTGAGGCCGCAGGAAGGACTGACCTCTGAACTCTCGTCTGATATCTAACGCCTCCCATACTCCCACACTGGAGCCTCTCTATTGATCACATGCACACACGTACATACATACTCAGACTGCCACACACACACAAAGCCCTTCCATGGTCCACTGCTAGCAAGTATTTGATTACCACTAGATGTGTGGGGGCAGTGTTATAAGTGCAGAGGGGGTCTCCTTATTGGGCAATAGATCTGTCACGATGATGTCTCCCGGGAATGATCAGCCCTAAGGTGAGATAAGGCCTGCCTCTGGAGGTTGAGTGGCCCTCCCTTTATCTATGAGAAGGCTGATATAGGTGATATGGTGTCAGAGAGAGACAGGAAATTCTGGGGACACTGGCGGCTCCTCATGAAGATTTTTTGCTTGGTTTGCCAGAAGCCAGACAATAGAGTAGCAGCTTATGTGGCTAAACATCTATATTTACAAGGATGTTTGATTAATATGAGGGAAAGAGTGGTATGTTGTTGGCTCAAATACATAAGTACGGCCAGTATTTGTAATATGCCAAAATGCAGCGCGGGCTTCTTAGCCCAGACTCGTGTATGTAATTAGTCAGAATGGGAGCTAATGAAGAAATACTTGAAGTTGCAGCCAAATATCCCTGCTGGCTGAGAGCCCCAGTTGTGTTTTTTAACTGACCATATTATGGAGGAATTTGAATTTGATAATTTACTTATTTGGGTATACATAGAAAACTGATTAGCACATTTAAAAATGCTTGTTTGGTAAAGACGAATAGGATTTGTTTGACTCTTTATCACTAGTGTACATAGTACATGGTAATGTTTGTAATAATCTATGTTACCTACCTCACTAGCAGATGTTGCATCAACTTCAATTACCTTATATATTCATTTGGATTGAACGTCAAAGCCCTTAGCTTTGCTGGAGCCGCTGAGCTATTCTGGACACGTAGGTGGGGATCACACAAACCTTTTCGGTACTATGCATTGCTTTGTGACATCGCATCTGTGACACGGTTTGGGAAGCTTGGTTTAGAGCATTTCAGAAGTGGACCGTGTTTCCCGGCGTTGTTGTTTATTTTGTCCCTAAAAAGGACAAAGTGGTGTGTTTCTCCGCTTCCAAGATGAACATTAGTAGCCTAAGAAGCTCTGCATATCTTTCTTTCACATATTGTTCCAGCTCCTAGAAAACATTTTGGAATGAATTGGTTCTCAATTTGTACTTGAATTAAGTGATTGCAAGTATGATGAGAAGCTGTACTAGCATGATATTGTAGGATTATTGGGAAATCTCAGAAGGGAAAGATTTCCTTATCTCCAGCTGGATCAGGCGGATGGCACTGTGATGGTTCTGATGGTTTTTATTGGGCTGAAAAATAGCTGAACACTCTGAGATCAAGAGCTTGTTTGATCTAAATTTAGACTGAATTCTGGAGATGTTACAAGGCACCATGAGAAAAACTTGCACAGCATCATTTAGCATTCAACACAC